TCCCCCCCCCCGCCTTTTACAAAAGGGGGGTAGCGGCGTCCCTGGCCGTTAGGTTCTCTTGGCGCGCGAGTGGGGTCTCTTCCGCGCTCTGTGCGGTAGAAGTGCAGTCCTCGCGGCAGTCAGGGTGCTGAGGGGACAGAGGAGCTGCCCGGTTCTTCCGCTCTCTGGGCGGACCTGGGTCCCCCGATTGCAGCCCACCGTTCTCGGGGCCGTGCCTGGCGTGAGGTGATTTACTGTCCCCGCCGCGGAGGCCCCCGGGTGAAGAAACGGGCCACCCGTGCGCGTGACTGCTCTCGCGACGCGTCCCGTGGCTGGCGTTGCCGTCTACTGAGGGAGGGAGGGAAGTGCCGGTCCCCTCGACGGGCGGGGTGCACGTGGACGCGGCACGGCACGGTTGTGCCGTTGGTGTGTAACGGTCGCTGAAATCCTGCTTCTGCTTGGTATCACTTTCCCCCTAGGAGCAAGGAGGATGGAAGAAGCTGCGGGGGATCTGAAGCAAGCGCTCCCAAACGTGTGTGACAACGTTCAGATACATGTGGAAGTTCATCAGAAATCAAGCAGGTCTCTGATCAGAACTTTACTTGCTGCAACTTGTGTCTGTTGCCTTTTGGCCTTGTGCTGCACACCTACAAGAGCGCACAGCACTCTGCTCTGCCTCCTTTATGCTCTCCCAGGAGTTTCCACACAGGTGTCTTTCTAAGGTTGAAGCCTATTTCTCTCAACTTCTTGTGCATCATATGATCAGTCTTATCATCAAGTTGGTGACCATATTCTGGACTTGCTTCAGTATATCATTGTTGCTTGTACAGCAGAGCCCAAAACTGCACATGATACTCCAGATGCAGTCTCACAAACAGCCAGTAGATGGGGAAAAATCACTTTCCCTAACACTTGCACTCTTCTTAACACAGCCTAAAATAAAGTTGGCCTTATTTGTAGTAGGGGCATGCCGCTGCCTCATTACCAACTTGTCCACCAGTACCCCTGGGTCCTTTTCTGCAAAGCTGCTTTTCATCCAGTTGGCCTCTGGTCTTTACAGTTGTCTGGGCAGTAGATGGAGGGATGGGATTTCACATTTAATTTTGCTGAACTTCAAGAAGTTCCTGTCAAACCATATCTCCAACCTGCAGAGGTTTCTCTGAATGGCAGCCCTGCTCTCTAGTATATTGACAGCTCTCCCTGCTCTGGTGTTATCCATAAACTTATTGCAGTTGCTTTCCATCACATTGTCCAGGGTGTAAATGAAGATGTAAAAACAGTGTTGGTCCCAATATTGATGGCACCACCCCACCTTTTCCTGCCTGGCTTACTGGCAGCTCTGCTTAGTCTTTGTACTAATAGTCACAATCCTTTGGCCTGGACAGTCCAGCCACCTTGTCCATCTATCCAGTCCTTATCTTACCAATTTGACTATCTGTATACTATGGGAGAGCGTGTCCCAGGTGTTGCCTAAGTCAAGGTGTAAAATATCCACTGCTCTCTTTTTGTCAGACTTAAAAGACAGGGAGTTAGGAATTTGCACTAGGAATGCATAACTTAATTAAGGTAAAGCGTTTCTGAAATCTTAAAACAGTATTCCTTTTCCTGTAGTTTTTGACTCTTCTACTGGAATTCTCCTTATAGCATGTCCCTGTCCTGAGGTATCAGCTGTCCTCAGACGTAATAGAACTTCCAAGCCGAGTGTACCAAATTCAGTCTAGCAGCTTGGCTATGAGTTTGTCTGTTTTTCCTAGTGAAACACGGTTAGATTGCATAACTGGTTTCCATTCTTGAAATCTAGCTGTGTTATTCCGTGTCCCCTGATATGACTGCAAACAGTATTCTTTGGCTTGTGTCTTTTAATGCGCAAATTAAAAACAAGTATCAAACTTGTTGCTTTTGGAAGCAAACTGAATTTTATAGGGTTTTTTTTCTGCAGGGGGGTGTTGAGTGGGTTTTGTTTCTTTTTGTGTGGGTCGATTTTTTGGGGGTGGTTTGTTTTGGAGATTTTGGGAGGGGGGTTGTGAGATGGAAGCTTTTTTCCATCTAGGCTCAGTGCATGAAATAAAGCACTAATATTAGTTCATGCTTACTTATAAATGTTAATGCCATAGATAATACTGTTTCTTTCTTGTTAGTGCGGCCAAGAAAGAAGATATCAAGATGAGTGTCTTAAAGCTGTTGAACAGACATAACATCGTGTTTGGTGATTACCGCTTTGTGTTTCTTGTGTTTCTTCCCCATAGCACAGTCGGCCCCACCAGCCGCAGTCACCGCTCGGCCCCCTCCACCGGAAGCCCTTGGGGGAAGGAGGGAGAGAAGGAGTCCTTCCGCCTGCCGCGGAGGAACATCCAGGTCAAGGGGGGGAGGGCCGTTCGCCAGCCCGCCTTTTACAAAAAGGCGGTAGCGGCGTCCCTGGCCGTTAGGTTCTCTTGGCGCGCGAGTGGGGTCTCTTCCGCGCTCTGTGCGGTAGAAGTGCAGTCCTCGCGGCAGTCAGGGTGCTGAGGGGACAGAGGAGCTGCCCGGTTCTTCCGCTCTCTGGGCGGACCTGGGTCCCCCGATTGCAGCCCACCGTTCTCGGGGCCGTGCCTGGCGTGAGGTGATTTACTGTCCCCGCCGCGGAGGCCCCCGGGTCCCCTCGACGGGCGGGGTGCACGTGGACGCGGCACGGCACGGTTGTGCCGTTGGTGTGTAACGGTCGCTGAAATCCTGCTTCTGCTTGGTATCACTTTCCCCCTAGGAGCAAGGAGGATGGAAGAAGCTGCGGGGGATCTGAAGCAAGCGCTCCCAAACGTGTGTGACAACGTTCAGATACATGTGGAAGTTCATCAGAAATCAAGCAGGTCTCTGATCAGAACTTTACTTGCTGCAACTTGTGTCTGTTGCCTTTTGGCCTTGTGCTGCACACCTACAAGAGCGCACAGCACTCTGCTCTGCCTCCTTTATGCTCTCCCAGGAGTTTCCACACAGGTGTCTTTCTAAGGTTGAAGCCTATTTCTCTCAACTTCTTGTGCATCATATGATCAGTCTTATCATCAAGTTGGTGACCATATTCTGGACTTGCTTCAGTATATCATTGTTGCTTGTACAGCAGAGCCCAAAACTGCACATGATACTCCAGATGCAGTCTCACAAACAGCCAGTAGATGGGGAAAAATCACTTTCCCTAACACTTGCACTCTTCTTAACACAGCCTAAAATAAAGTTGGCCTTATTTGTAGTAGGGGCATGCCGCTGCCTCATTACCAACTTGTCCACCAGTACCCCTGGGTCCTTTTCTGCAAAGCTGCTTTTCATCCAGTTGGCCTCTGGTCTTTACAGTTGTCTGGGCAGTAGATGGAGGGATGGGATTTCACATTTAATTTTGCTGAACTTCAAGAAGTTCCTGTCAAACCATATCTCCAACCTGCAGAGGTTTCTCTGAATGGCAGCCCTGCTCTCTAGTATATTGACAGCTCTCCCTGCTCTGGTGTTATCCATAAACTTATTGCAGTTGCTTTCCATCACATTGTCCAGGGTGTAAATGAAGATGTAAAAACAGTGTTGGTCCCAATATTGATGGCACCACCCCACCTTTTCCTGCCTGGCTTACTGGCAGCTCTGCTTAGTCTTTGTACTAATAGTCACAATCCTTTGGCCTGGACAGTCCAGCCACCTTGTCCATCTATCCAGTCCTTATCTTACCAATTTGACTATCTGTATACTATGGGAGAGCGTGTCCCAGGTGTTGCCTAAGTCAAGGTGTAAAATATCCACTGCTCTCTTTTTGTCAGACTTAAAAGACAGGGAGTTAGGAATTTGCACTAGGAATGCATAACTTAATTAAGGTAAAGCGTTTCTGAAATCTTAAAACAGTATTCCTTTTCCTGTAGTTTTTGACTCTTCTACTGGAATTCTCCTTATAGCATGTCCCTGTCCTGAGGTATCAGCTGTCCTCAGACGTAATAGAACTTCCAAGCCGAGTGTACCAAATTCAGTCTAGCAGCTTGGCTATGAGTTTGTCTGTTTTTCCTAGTGAAACACGGTTAGATTGCATAACTGGTTTCCATTCTTGAAATCTAGCTGTGTTATTCCGTGTCCCCTGATATGACTGCAAACAGTATTCTTTGGCTTGTGTCTTTTAATGCGCAAATTAAAAACAAGTATCAAACTTGTTGCTTTTGGAAGCAAACTGAATTTTATAGGGTTTTTTTTCTGCAGGGGGGTGTTGAGTGGGTTTTGTTTCTTTTTGTGTGGGTCGATTTTTTGGGGGTGGTTTGTTTTGGAGATTTTGGGAGGGGGGTTGTGAGATGGAAGCTTTTTTCCATCTAGGCTCAGTGCATGAAATAAAGCACTAATATTAGTTCATGCTTACTTATAAATGTTAATGCCATAGATAATACTGTTTCTTTCTTGTTAGTGCGGCCAAGAAAGAAGATATCAAGATGAGTGTCTTAAAGCTGTTGAACAGACATAACATCGTGTTTGGTGATTACAAGTGGACAGAGTTTGATGATGGTTTCCTTAATAGCAATGTGCAGTCCGTGTCAATTGTGGATACAGAGCTGAAACTGAAAGACAGACAGGTATCCACAGCAAGAATGTACAGCTCTGTTCATATGCCTGTGAACTAGGTGTAGGCACACTAGTCATAGCCTAAGGACATAAGCAAGACAAGGTCTGTAGGACGACATGGTAGCTTTTATTGGGCTGACTGGTAGAACCAGGAATAGATGGCTAAGTTTTTGGGCCTACAACCCTTAATAAGGTCTGAAACAGAAGTAGTAGGCTTCAAAGCTGAATGCCAGATGAGAACCATAACTTTCTTATGTTATAATTAGCTTTGAATGAGAAATACAATGTATTAAAAGTCTTTTTATGTGCATTCTAGCCTATTGACTTGAGCAAAAGCAGTCTTTTTCTTCATGTTTTTCATCTGAATGAAGAAGGACCAAGCTCTGAAAACCTGGAAGAAGAGAATGAGGATATCATTGCAGCTAACCACTGGGTGCTACCAGCAGGTACCCATGTGATATTTCTGAAAGAAAATCTTGGAAAGACTAAAAGTTTTTATAGGGCCACCTGTTAAAGGTATTATTTGTAAATGTTGTTTAACTTTGTCCTTTGTCGATGGAACCAATATATTTGGACTTTCTTATTTATGGTTTTGACTGAACTACTACAGGTGGTTCCACAACATGTCATTTATTTCTGTAATACTTGTGGATGGGTGGAAGTAACTGGTCTTGTGGAATAGAAACTATAGTCATAATCAGAAGCATGCAAATTTTTAACCCTACAGACTGCATTCCAAATTTTTATTTGGAGGCCCACAAGAAACTCATCAGTTTAAACATTCATTTTCCAGAGCACACTGCTGGCTTCCAGCCCCCAAGACAGTGCTGCTCTTATATTTGGAAAAAACAAACTAAAGAGATCTGGAGTCCTTGGGGTGTTTTCTGAAGAGAATAAGGCTCTGCTCTGCAAGAGGGCATGGGCAGCCCGTGACTATATCATGCTTGGGGAAGTTGAATTCTGTGCCTGGAAGAAATGCAGGTGTGAGCTTAAGCTCAAAGAGAGTGATTCTGAGACATTTCTTGCTCTTTCCATGTTGAGAAAAGCGTAACGATCCATTACATTTCTATTCAGGATAAATTCATTCTGATACTTTTACATTATTCCTATCATTGTGGTTTATAATTGTTCTGTCTCTTTTGCTTGCTTTTCTTTGATGAAAGCTAGAAACAAACTGCTAGAAATGACTGATACCCAAATCACAACTTTAGTTTTTTATACATTATTCAGCTATGTGGGGTTTTTTTTGTCCTCTACATGATGATGTTAAAAAAAAAAAAAAAAAAGCTAAATGATAAAATTTGGCCTAGAACCCTCCTCCCACTCTCTGTCTTGGGGAAATGTAGGTCCATCCTCTATTTCATGTTAAGAAATTAAAAATATTAAGTTCTCCTCACGGTTATTTGAGGAAACAGAAGTTGTGAAACTGCTGAATCTGTCTGTTAGAAAGTAGTGTTTGCATTTTGAGAAAAATAACTTTTTTTTTCCATATATTTTAATTGTGCTCAAATATCTATTCTTAATCCTTTATTTTAGTTGAGAATAATTTGAAAACTGCTTTGTGCTGCAATGGTAGATTATAGATTCCCAGATTGATTTATCCTAACAGGTGTATAATATATTGCATTTACAGCTGAATTCCATGGCCTTTGGGAAAGTCTTATATATGACACTGAAGTAAAATCACATGTAAGTTGAAAATTAATAACAATTAAAATTGCTTGAGGTGAAGTAAGACTTGAAATGTAGCCTGCTTGAAGTTTGCTCCATCCCATGGAGAAGTTATTTGGAAATCACCAGCTCAAAAAAATCTCTATATAATTTTTGACAGTTACATAGTTCTCTGATGTAACAAAAGAAGGCAGAGCTGATATTTTGAGATTAAACATCATATCTCAGGTGTATATCAGTGTGTACTGTGAAGTCAGCTTTGCAAAAAAATCTCAGTTTCCCTGTGAAACTGCGTTCAGTGATGCTCATGCCAAAAATTACAAAGAATTTCTCATATACAGTGGCTTATTTTACAGAAATCAAAAGGTTAACAGCTGGAGGTATTGTTTTGGTAGCAACTTAAAACCTCTCCGAAGATTTTTTTTCACTTTTGCTTTAGACATATTCATTAGCCGGCATGAAGAAAACAATGAATCTTCTGTAGAACAGGGTAGAAATTCACTTTATTAAAATACTGCACCTTGTTTTAAGGCTCATTAATTGCCTGTTTTTCTAGAAGGGGAGAAGAAAATTGGTGGAAAAAACTAACTTCAAAGAGATCAAAAAATGTATGCAGCATTCTTTGAAGTCAATTCTGTATTTCTCTACTGTGAAGGCCCCAAAAGATCTGTTGTGGCTTTGGTGTGGCTTTTTTAAATGATAAGGCAATTTTGGTGGCTTGCTATCACTAGAAGAGAAGTGTGTTGCTATCAGCTGTACTTACAGTGCTTATTGGTGCTCCTGTTAACTTGCAGTAAACTAACTGAGGAAACTAATCATTATAAGTGTTCAAGTTACTGTGTGATGGGCTAATTACTGCCTGTTTTTGTTAATTCGTCCACTATGACTGTAACAAATGGTCGTGTAACAGAAGTGGTGGGCACAGGCTAGGCAGAAGGGAATGGGAGTCTAACTGTGTTTCTGGCAGCAGCTGGACAATTCATTGGTTTAGCAGTAACATCAGCCGGCACTGTTACTATTCATACAAATGCACATTGAATAATTTGACTAGAGTGAGTGTGCTCCCACTTGAATGCTGGTAGGACATTTGGAAGAAACAAAACAGTTCCATGGGGTCATTTTCTAGTTTGAAGATTCTGTGCATTCATCAAGCCAGAGCTTGTAGAACTGTAATCTGAAATTTAGTAATTGTGATGTAAGTAAAGACCATAATGCAGTTGCTCTTATGACAGCAGTCATTAAGATGTTTATTGTGCTTGTTAAAAAAAAAAATCTTTCTATCTGAAGTTTTTGGACACAAATAGCTAATTCATTAGCTTGTTTATAATACCATAGATACAGTATTCTCACTTAAGTCTTTATAACCATCTATAATAAAGCAAAGCATTCCAGTGATTGCACTTCTTTGTTTATAAGGTAAACATCAATTAAAACATCAGTGGTTGTCTAATTTATGGAACTGCTTTCCAAATCATCTGTGTAATGACAAGACTATTTAATTAGGCTTACTGATGTACTAAATAATAGCAAGTTGAATGCTGTTGACTGTAAGTATACGTTGATAGCAAGAAGCAGTAGCTTTTAATGACTAAAACTAGAACTACTTAACTTCTGTAAAAGTAATTGTGATGACTATTCATTCTTTAAACTGTAGAACCATCTGGGTACAGTTGTGTTCTACAGACTGAAATGGTTGCTCTGAATTTTCAAAATAGTACAGTCAGTGTCAATATTAAAAAACATGGGTGAAGTTCAGGTTTTTTGCTATTGCATAATTGCTCCATCTTGAGCGTGAGATATTGCAGGAATACTATTGTATTGTCCTACTAACACATGTGGCTCAAAAGCACATTAAAGGTAACAGCAATAGAAAATAATATGATATCAAGTGTTGTTATAGGTAAAATTCAATATAGATTCGCACCTGAGGTTCATAGACATTTTGTTGAAAGTTTCCTACTTCCTAATTCTAGATAATTCTAAAATGAAGTAGCAATAGTTTTAGAAGCAAGCATTCAGAGGAGAAAATGCAACTTCCCTTATTTGAAAGGCTAACAAATCTACAAATTCCTTACAGTAGTGGATATAAATGCTTCAGTAGAAAGGAACTAAAATATGACAGGAAATGCTTGCTTTGGTGGGTTAAGCACAACAAACTGAACAAATGTGTAGCTGTACAATGCCTAAACAGGACCTAGATTTTGAGTCTTTGATTCTCTGTGCTTGGGTAGCTTGTGTTTTAAAGACATGCTCTAAGTGGGACGATGGAAAATGAAAATAATTTCACTCCCTTAACACGTCTCATTTGTTCATGTAAAAGTTCTGGAACTCCATTTGTGCCTAGTACATGCTGTTCTTTTTCCTGAGGGCAGGAAGGAAATGAATTTCCAACCTTTGTGGAAAGAAAATTTGCCTATGACTAAAAAACATGAGTCCAATTTTTATTTTTGTTAAGAATACACAATAGACATAAGTAGGAGATTGTTTCTATATGTAATTGTATTTGCTGATATGTCTCTAATTTGTGTGTGTCTTTTTCTCCTCTTCGATTAGTTACTTGATTATGTGGCGACAGCATTACTATTTTCTGACAAAAATGTTGACAGCAACCTGATATCATGGAACAGAGTTGTTTTGCTGCATGGTAAATATGATCTGCCTGAAACCAAGTAGATTCATTGGCCACCTGTTTATAATTCTCTTCTGGAAAAACTTGTATTGCACTTCTATGTAGTGAAATTAGATGATCCAAAAGCAGTAGAGAAGTATTCTGTCTATAATACAAATTGAGGTTAAATGTAATGTCAGAATCAAATCAATGTTCACATGTACTATGTTTCACAGGAACTTAAATTCTAAAATTTGTAATGCAGTGACAATAGTTGGGTTTTTATTTTTCATTTTTAAGTGGTATTATTGCTTTTGTGTATGAAGTGCAAAAATAATGCAGATACCGAGGACATTAGCAGCCATGTATTACAGTGCTATTGCAGTATTAAAAAATTTGTTAGTTGTGGTTTTATAAAAATTTTTGACGAAACTGGGAAATCAGTCTGTGTTGTGTTATTAACACTGTCTGTTCTATTGTCAAGTATGAAGGCAGTACTGTCGCTAATTTAGTTATTACTGTATCAGTGAAGCTGTAATCTTCAGTCAGTCCTAGCTTACTGTAGAGGTTATACTATAAACGAGATTGACATCAACTGAATCAATTTCCTTGCAAAATGCAGCTTGCTGTTGATTAATTACAATTTTGTCATCAAGACAAAAATAAAAGGTCATAGTGGAAATATTTATTATGAGTGTTGGTTGCACTTATGTTATAAGGTTCAGTTTAGAAGCTAAAAGATGTTTTGAAAACTATTTATTTCAGACTGTTAATGTATTTATGATAGGTATGTTTAATTTTAGTAATGAGCACATTATTGTGATCACAAAGAAGTTAATACTGGGGAATCTACAATTGTTGCAGAGTAAAATATATTTATGCTATAATGGCAGTACTGGCTTTGAAAGTACTGTCATCTGGTTGATGTTGTCAGTTTCTTTAGCACCCACACATCATCTTCCATACATTCACACCCTGCTTAACTATGCTTGTACTTGTCTGTCTGGAGAAAGTCTTTGTGGCTCTTCTATAGGTGTCAGATCCAAAAGGTTTGTCCCAGAGCATGCTTCCTAAGATGCTCTGAGTTGCCCCAAGGTAGAGATTAATGGGAAAGTGGACAGCTAATCAAACTGGGCATGATGTGTTTCTGTTTTGCATGTCAGAAGAGTATGTTTCAGGAAGATAAAAGTTTAAGCATAGCACTGATTTTTGAGAATGCTAATAAGCATAAGCCCTGCTAGGGTGATACACTTTGCTTCTGTGGCTGTTGAGTATTTTAACTTCGTGGTATTTGCATACAAACTATTACACTAACTATGCTAATCATTGAAAATGGTATAAATTCAAAGCTCAGCTCTAGGACTGTAGTGGGAGTAAGCAATCTTCTCAAAATACCCTGGTCTTCACAGTCATTGCTGTGTTTTTATTCTACAAATAGTGCTGTAATGAAATACAGTAGTTAAAAAGATGCTACATGTCATTAACAATCTGATGCAGACTCTGTGTAATGTGTGGATTTGATTTCAAACCAGGCCCTCCTGGAACTGGGAAAACCTCTCTCTGTAAAGCATTGGCTCAGAAGCTGACAATTCGACTGTCATACAGGTGATCATTTTTGGAAATTTTTCCCTTAAGTTTACTATTATTAATTGGTCTTTTTCAGTAGCCCAAACATATTTAATATTTGATTTCAAGTAACTGGTGCTAAGTGTTAATGTTCATAGTTCTTTTATAGTGCACCTGCCTGGCAATAAAATGGATCTGATAGAGAGACTGGTTAGGATATTTTAATGCCTTGTAAAATGTGTAATTATGTGTGCCCAGACACGTAGAACAAATTCCAGTGGCAATATAGTCATTGGCTTGTGCTCACATCGTACATCAATGAATATTAAAGTACAAAGAATCACAGAGTATCAAGCCTGCTATTTGTATCTTCATGTTCAAGAAAGCTGTTCTTAATAGGTAGTGGTTTTTTAACCATCTTGTTTTGTACTTGGATTGTCTGAATGCTACAGAGGTCAGTCTGTATATCAGACAAGGAAATAAGAGTTAGCCTTAAATTTCATAACAAGATATTTATATAAAAAAAAAAAGTTTATATAAAATACTAGGTGTAACATAAATAATGTGTAATTATTGGAGTGATCTGACTCTAGCCCAAGCTGAGTTTATGATAAACATGGATGGTGTGGTTGAGATATTTTGTCCTAAGGATACCCATGCAGAGCTAAGTAAATAGGCTTCATGCTTTTGTATGTGTTCTTGCTACACTGAACAAAATCTTACATGAACAGAAGACAGAGGCCATTAGCATGGAAATCGTTACTTAAACTATATTTAAATAGCACCTGTTCTAATTAAGAAATTCTGATAGCAATTTAATATAAAGAATTCTAGTGAGACACATTTCTGGAAGTGATAAACTCAAAACCGGTATCATGTTTTGAAAAGTAAGTAATTTAAAGTACTAATTCACAGAATTCCAGGGTTGAAATGGAGGGAATGAGACTTATGGAAGTTAATGGTATTACTGACTTTTATTTACAATAGAGTTGATACTTCTTTTTCCCTTCATATTTTAGGTATAGATATGGACAGTTAATTGAGATAAACAGCCATAGCCTTTTCTCTAAATGGTTTTCTGAGGTATGTATTGATGTAGCTAATTAAGTACACTGTTTCTGTTGAGCTTGATTCATAAAATAAGTGTGCAATGAAGATTACTCAGAATAATTAATGTGTTTGAGAACACTTAAACAGAAGCTATATTAGTAAGTTACTTTAAAAAACAGGTATTTCCATCTTTAAATATGGTAAGGCTTGGAAATTGATGTGATAAGGGAATAGTTAAACATATGCATATGGTGTCTTTCTAGAGTGGCAAGCTTGTAACCAAGATGTTCCAGAAGATTCAAGAGTTAATTGATGACAAAGATGCTCTTGTATTCGTACTGATTGATGAGGTATGATTCTAATAGCACTGATGTACATAAATTTAGCAGAAAGTAAATTGGTCGGAGGGAACTTTGATAATGCTCACTTGTAAAGAACAATAAAAGCATGTTCATGCTTTTATGTGAGTTACATAACTGTGCAGAATAGTGAATTTTAATCTTGAGCTCGTTCTGTTTTGTGTGTGTGTGAGCTCGTTTCTGTTTCCCCTGCCACCCCCGAAATTCAATTAAAATGAAAACCCACCTCTGTTCTGCTGTCTAAACAGGAATTTCACTCACTACACTTTGCTTCCTTGACATGCCTTTCCTTCTCCCTGTAAGTTTCTACTTAACAAAAGATTTTGAAAATGTAGTTTTAGATACCAGACACAAGGATCTGAAGGTGTATTGTCTGGGTTACTTGCTTGCTGCCAGCACTCCATATGTGCAGTTTTCTATGGGGTTTTTTTTGTGTTTGGTGATTTTTTGTTTGTTTGGTTGGTTAGTTGGTTTGATTTTTTGCAGGTGGAAAGCCTCACAGCAGCCCGCAGTGCCTTCAAGGCAGGCACAGAGCCTTCAGATGCTATTCGTGTGGTGAATGCTGTACTGACACAAATAGATCAGATTAAAAGGTAAACTGATATTATTACAAAAGCAAAAGGTAATTGACAGCTTCAGGATTCCTGCTAAATCTTAATTCCTAATTGGAATGCTAAACCAAATTGCTTAGTGAACTATTCTTTGTTAATGGTGCTAATTTTGAAAAGAAATAGGAGTAATACAATAGAATATTTTGCATGTAACTGAGTGAACAATCAAATCTACAGATGGTGTACTTCCTTTAAAGCTAGGGAGAGATATAGGACAGAGGGTCATGATATCTGCTTGGAGAGACAAGAATAAGATCAGTGAAGAACTCATTCATTATTTACAGCTTCTGGATGTCAATGTAAAGCATACTTGCACAACATATGGCTTAGAAGCAATTGTTAATGATGCTTCATCCACTTTGTGTGCTGGATTTAGTGCAGCATACCATCTCTTGTTTTATTCCTGCCACTTTCCTCTCCTTTTTGGGCATACTTGTCTCTGTTCACAGAAAGAAAGGTGCCCTAGTATTTGGCCCTGTCTTGCGGCTAATTAAAGGTAAGTGGCTTATTCATATGGAAAAGTTCACAGACTTCATCTAAAAATAGCTATGGTTAAGAATGTTCTTTCAATATTTCTTAGAGCAAGGAGATGTTGCTTCTCTTTTGTGCTTACTCTAATGTCATCCACGATTACAATGTGTCACATTGCCAGTTGGACTATATACTTTTTACTGAATTGAAATAGAAAACATGTAGATTAAAGTTTCAAATTTACAAGTCGTCTTTTCATAATCTTTTTTTTTGTGGCAGAAACTATACCAGTAGGCTCAAGATAGTTGATGTATATCACTTCTAAAATAGGGTTAGAGAAACAGTGGACACTTGAGAAACAGCTGAAAGAAAGAGACTGTGCATTGAATTTGATTGGTGATAACTGGCCAAAAGCTCCAGATCATTTAATGTAACTGCTGGCTGACAAGAATGATGTGACTGCTTATTGCATGAAATGGCTTGAGTCATAAGAAGGAAGGTATCAATTTGCCAGTCATAAAAGGGGATAATTCTTATACATGTGACCTAAAAATCTGCTTTTATCTTGAAGGTATCCCAATGTAGTTATCCTGACTACTTCAAATATTACGGACAAAATTGACATGGCCTTTGTAGACAGGGCTGACATAAAGCAATACATTGGACCTCCATCCACTGCAGCAATATTTAGAATATATCTTTCTTGCTTGGAAGAACTGATGAAGGTAATAATTCAAACACAAGACTGTAAAATGTCCTCTTTTAATAAATTAGACATTTTAATCATACTTCCTAAATAACCAAAATACACAAATTTAATTCCTTTTCTGTATTTCCACTCTTACTGTAGAATTTAATTTTGAATGTATTTAAGTTTTTTCATACAACAGTGTATAACTTTTCTTTCTAGTGTCAAATAATATATCCTCGACAGCAGCTCCTGACACTCAGAGAGCTAGAGATGATAGGCTTCGTAGAAAATAATGTGTCAAGGCTAAGCCTTGTATTAAAAGAAATCTCAAGGTAAGATTCTGAAATTCTACATTTTTTATATATATGCACACACAGATATATGTATATATGTATATATAATGAGTTGTGGAATGATGTATAAAAGTAATGGAATTTCAGAACAGCTAGAGTTCAGAAATGTGTCCATTTTTTTCTGTTAGGGTTATTGCAAAACCTTTCAGGGGACAAAAGTGGGAAGTGATCAGGATTTGCCGGTATTTCTTAGGCTCAGGTCTAGCTTGGCTTAGTACTGCTTCTGGTTTCTTCTTTACACTTTGAAGTTCTCTTGACAAATTGCTGGCTGGATTAGTGAGATGCCTTAGGTTTCAGTGGATATAGTGAATTGTAATTCAGTTCAGTGGAAATAGTATTGGCCTTAGTTCCTGCTAAGAAAGTGTCTTAGAATTCTTTGCAATATAAGAAGTCAGTTTTTAGCATTGAGATAGAAGTGGACAGAAGCAAAGGGGAAAGGAGTGAATTGTAAATAGGAGAGTGTTATGATCTGCTGAGTACGTTAGTAGAGCAAATAGTCTTTCACTGCAGCATAACAATTCTTGAAACAATAAAAATTATATTCACAATATCAAGCAATACTTTTTTCCAAAGTGCTGGTTCCTATGGAACAAAATAAAATAACAGTCATAAAGTCAGCAAAGTGTGTTTTCCTTCTGTTCTTGAAGTAGGCAATCTTAACTAGTGAGGAGTGGAATAAAAGCAAGTTAGTTTTTCCAGGCATAGAGGTTTGGGTTCTACATACACAGAGTGGTGCTTGGAGGAGATGGAACCATATATCAATCAAGTATGTGAGGTAAAGGAAGCTTTTTGTAAATGGTGGGAAGGAGATAAGCAGTAGCTGTGAGGTCCAGCCTTCAAAACAAATTTTTCAAGTCCTTCCAAGTGCAGATGGAAAGTTATGTCTGTACCATACCCTTTCAAGTGTAGACATCCCCCCACATTGATGAGGTATGGCACAGTGATGTGAAGGGCATGACGTGAGCTTTGGCAGGCAAATGTGACTATGCTGTTTCTGTACCTTTGCTTGCTTTTCTGTACTGCATAGCCTCCCATAGGCTGAAATTGTCTGTCCACTTCCTGCTTCTGCTAAAAGTGCTGCAAGTGACCTGCTGAATTGTGATCTGAGGTTTTTTAGAACAACTTATGGGAGAAAGAAAAAGGAAAAGTTGTCTTTCAAGAGTGGATATTTAGCATTTAAGCAGTACTTGTTTCTGTTTTACTATAGAAGAAGTGAAGGTCTTAGTGGCCGGGTCCTGAGAAAACTTCCTTTCCTAGCACATGCACTTTATATTCAAGTAAGTATATTCTATTAATTATATTTTGGTTTGGTTTTGAGGCAGGTAGGAGGACATTTGGACACTGCCTGAAGTAAAAGATTGGGCCTAACCCCCCTTTTAATCTAAATTGCACTGTTTCTGCAGCTTTGTAGACTGGAACAATTTTGCACTGTCCATAATTTAAAATGACATTGAAGACAACAGGAGGGATTGACCTGTCCTACAGCATTCTATTTTTAAATAGATGTTGTGACAGAACTAATTCCTTTCTGGAAAAAAAAAAAAAAACCTCTGCAACTTTATAAATAATAATAATAATTTGTTAAAAACCTTTTTTGAAGCAAATCCACAGTAATAAGGATTGACTAAAGACTTTGTGTAACTTGACTTTGACTTTACTATGCTAGCTGGTTTAAAATAAACCTGCATTTTTATGTTTTGGAGCATTTTGAAAATTTTGTAACATGGAAGTCAGATATGTCGCTTTTAAATACTGTGATTTTTATGTAAAATATTATGTATGCCAATTACTGTAGTGTGTCTAACAAAATGTTCTCTTATTTTCAGTCCCCCAGTGTTACAATGGCAACGTTTCTTCAGGCTCTTTCACTTGCAGTAGACAAACAATTTGAAGAAAGAAAGAGACTTGCAGACTCGCTGTGATACTCTATTCTTTTACAGTTGTCAGTATTGTTAACACTGAAAACTACATATTTTTCATACAAACTGTGCAGTTTCTATGCGTCTGTAAAATGATTGTCAACACCTTAAAAAACCTGGAATGCCTAATATAGTTTTTCAAAACATTCATTAATAAACAATTAAGAAATTTTACAGAATATTTTTCAAAAACTTTATTTCAAATGCCATTAAGAGGATTGTAAAAAAAATTCTTGCTAAAAGACAGTTTTCATCTTTTGCGGTTATTAAAAGTGGGCAGACTTCTGTTCCTTGTTTCTTAATCCGTGCATCAGTTTTTATACTTCTGATTTCCTTTATATTCTGATACTTCTGCCATAAATGCACTATTTGTTATTGCTTCTGAAATAACTAGCATGAAACTGGGAAGGATTTGAAGTGCTCAGTGATGGCCCAGACCTTTTATGCTGACATCTCTTTATCTTGAAATTTAGTATCAAGTATTACTTTTTTTAATTATATCAGGTTCAAAATCAAAATGTCACTTAACTGTATTTTATAATACTACTTTTTTGTGTTGTTCCAAGGACGTGAACCAGGGTGGACCATGTTTTCTCACTGAAGAGTAACTACAAAGTGTAAGAATGGTTCTTTAAAATGCATTAAGTTTGGTTTTGTTTTGGTTTATAAACATGACATAAGAGTTACAAATCCCCTGTGGAGAAAAATATTTTGTAGTGCAAAAGCCAGGAAGTGTATGCATCCAATTCCTAAAGGAACAGGGTCAACTTTTATATGGTAAATACATATCCTATATAATACTGGTTATAAAATTGTCAACTCCTCTCCTTCTTTTGTATTTACAAGTATTTTACCTGCAGTCAGCTGAAAGAATGAAATATTAGGGGAGTTTCCAGATTAGAAGTTTAATTTTTCTTCAATGAAAATAGTGAGATTTAAGTTGATGATATCCAGTTAATGCATACCTCCTAGCTGTTGGTATTGGAAATACTTTACTGATAGTGCATTTTGTTACTTCCTTGTTTGTATCTTTTAAATCAATGTTACACTATACCGTCATTAGATGAAAGATTTTGTTTTGAGCTATTTTTATTGATGATCAATATAAACTGTGCGTTAAAAAATTTCACAGAACTTGTCAGGTGCTGGTAAATTTTTATTGTGGCATCTATACTTATGTAAAGAGAGCCTGTTTTTTAAGCCTAAGTGTCTGTTCATTATATTACTTTTGAAAATAACTTATTAAATATTATTCCCTATCCACCCCCCCAAAAAAGAAGGGGGGTAGGTGGGCAAAGTTTGTACCAAATTCAGTTGTTTGCAATTGTGTACTCTATTTTTCCCCACAATCCCTGTTTTGAAAATACTGGTACATGCAAGAAACTTCCATAAATCCAGGTATAGGAAGACTACTGAAAGGCAGTATTTTATACAGACTCTAGTCCATAGTGGATTTGTGGCTTTTAAAGTAAAGAGATTTAGAAACTTAAAATGTGTATTCATTCAATATAGGTGTATGTTATTATGTGTGCCTGTCTTGATGATCCATGTAATAGATATTGGGGTACTTCCATGGTAACCAAAAGCATGAAACTATCTTCTGGTCTGGATTTGAGAACTGCAGAGGCTCCACGAACTGCCAGTTCTTGTGTGAAGGGAGGCTAAAGGGTTAACAAAAGGACCTTTGTGAAGCCAACTGTAGATCCATCTTAAATTGCTAGCATTGTATTTTAGCTTAACTTACTAATCATGTGAAGTAAACTATAGATAAGAAACTGTAGGGAATGTGGAAGAGGGGAGATTAGTAGCAAATGGCCCATGTTTGTTACAGGCCTTGGAAGGCACATAGGAGAACATAGCATCTGGCACTTTGTTTGATATGAGGATAGCCAAGGATGGGGAGCCGGTTGTTCTGACAGTGGAATAAAGGGGGAGGAAGCTGGAGCTCACCAAAAGGACAAGGTGAAGAAGAGGAGTGGATGAAGTGAATGACCCCTGAAGACCACCGACTCAAATCACTGAGCCTGTGCAGTTGGGAGGGACTTATGGAAATGACCTCTTGAAACTAGTTTTAATACGAAGCGGGGACAGGTTCTGCCTATGTATAGGCGTATTGGGAAACTTCATGTATATGTAACGCTTTGCTACATATAAGCAGGACAAGCTCCGTGTTGCGGTGCGCACGACTTTGGTGGGACTACCCCCCGTGCTGGCCAGCGCTGAATAAACATACCGTATACTTTACAATCTTACAAATTGTGGAGTCCCTTTTCCGCACATCACAGTGGCCTTGCTTGACTGACATTTTTCCACTGACAGCTGGTGAGACCTGTGCCTGTTAAGCTTCATGAGATCAGGAGCTTTTGTTCTTCCACCTCTATTATTTGGACATTTCAGCTTAATATGTAATGGATTTTTTCCTGAATAGATCTTAGTTTTACTTTATATCTTAATTTCATTTTTTATGTGCTGTATTTTATTTAAGATTTTTAAAAGTCCTAAATTCAAAGCAAATGTATCTTAGGGAAGAGGAAGAATAAACAATCAGCATGAATATAGTATGCCTTCCAGTAAAGGACTCCAGATGTTGACAACTTGCTGTAAGACAGTGTCCCCATGGTTAACACCAAAGTGAAACCACCAACATTAGGACCCAGAGCAGCAGTGAGCATAACACCAGAAAAGGGGTAGAAGCTAAGAAATCTGTGTGTTAAATTTTTAATTGTATTATTGCTATTATTGCAGCTTTTCCTGTATATAAATACTGTAGCTACTTTATTATTCATTCTTTTTCTGCAATAACTAGATGAAGACTAATGGTGATTGTCGAATTAAACTTTTAAAAATTCCATTATATCAGAAACACAATATCAGAGACACAGATGGTTGAGGTGGGAAGACACCTCTGGAGGTCAAGCAGGAGTAGGCTGGAGTAGGCTGCCCAGGACTATATCTGTCTGGATGGCTTTTGAGTATCTCCAAGGATGGAGACTCAACAACCTCCCTGACCAACTTGTGACAGCCCTCCTCATGGGAGAGATGCTCTAGTCCCTTAATCATCTTTGTGGCTTTTTGTATGTCTCCAGTATGTCCATGTCTCTCTTGTACTGGGGAGCCCAGAACTGGACATGGTGCTCCAGGTGTGACCTCGCCAGTGCTGAACAGAAGGGAAGGATCACCTCCCTCAACCTGCTGGAAACAGGAATGACCTGTAAGCCATCCCACCATGTCTCCACGATTCCAGCAAGATTATAGCCTTGCAGCTGCACACAAGTCTCTAACTCATCATGTTTATTCCCAATACTATGTACATTAGTGTACCCCAGAATCCTGATTTGCCAGCAAGGGTCTGGGATTTTCCAATAATGTTGCCTTGCTTACATGGAAATGCTGGAGGCGACCTTGCTTAAACCTTGTTTTGCTGATTTTGCGTTTCCTTTCTGACACATCACCCCATGGTCTTTGCTCGTCAACCCTATCCACCCCTCCCTCACAGGGCTGCTTTTAACTCTGTCCCTCCACTGTCATTCCTGGTTTAAATCCCTTCTTCCTGGGTCAACCATCCTAATGGCAAAGACAACTTTGCCCTGCTTATTGAGGTGGATCCCATCTCTCCCAAAATTCTTGGGTTTATTTATTACAATTTAAGAGGTGTCCTGCCTCTTTGCCCATAGACAAGCTTCTGAGTGTAATAACCAGATCTGGAAAAAAAATGTTTCTGTGTTCTTTGCTGTCATGCACATGATATAAATACCAGGTCTCTTCCCGATCACTATCTTGATCTAAATGTATATTTAGGGCAAGTCTGTTCGGTAAAATCTTCACACTGTAGGCATCAAAAAACCTTTTTCAATAAGGCACAGATTTTTAACCTTTATCTAAGCAAAGTATAACAATTTATTAAACGAATAAAAGCAAGCAAACAGCGCTGGGTGCGCCGGGAGCCTCTGCTCTACCAAGATGCACACCTAACAGTTCTTGTTTTCTGGCTTATATACACCCCAGCAATAGGCGGGTCTTAAACTCCTTTTGTTTTGGTCAGTACCAGAACCGGTTTAAC